TATAGACTTACCCAGGACTAGATGGTTAGGATACCTGAGTTCTGGAGGTAACTTGGTTCCTCACTAACTGTTAGACTGAAGTCCATGTAACTAAAGAAAAAACTTGTGTTCCCGGTGCGAGGATTCTGGACATTTACAAGTTAGCTTTCCTAGATTTCTTAGATGCATGAGACTAGATGATTCTTGAAATATATATATTTTTTAAATTTTGAAATAATTTTAGCTTTCCAGAAGTTGCAAATATGGCACAGACACTCCCAGGTTCTCCTAAATTCAGTATCTTATAAAAATGTGGTGCACTTATCAAAACTAAGAGTTAATATTCTTAGAATACAATTATAAAATTATAGACTTTTTTTTCGGGTTTCACCAGCTTTAGTTACTATCTGGCCTAGAGGGACTCGTTGTAATTATTCCTGTGAGATTTCTATAATCTGACTGGGGGGAGGCTGTACCCACAAAAAGTATCTCTTGAATGCCTGGTACAGGCAGGTCCTTGTTCTAAGAATTGGAAATAGAAAACATTTAAAGACTCGGTAGCACACTTATTAGCTAAGGGTCTAACTGATTTTCTGCAAACTTTCAAGACTTTAGAGTTCTACCATGACCAAGAAAGCTGTGTGAAGAATGCAAGTGTCTCAGAGGTGTCTCATTAAAAGGGAAACCAAAAAGAGACCTCTTTTGAAACTGCAATGTAATGGTTGGAGATGGAGGGCTGCTGACTCCAGGCAGAGCTGGTCCTGGGACAATGAATCTAGCTCCAGGGTTTAAGGGACACTCAACCCAAGACTTTCTTTACATTATAATCAAATCCCAGAATGCATCATTGATGAAGTCAATTAGGAACCACAAATAGAGAGAGAGGAACAGGAAGGAGTAGCCCCACTGAGATAGCTGCAGAGATACCCTCTTGCCTCTGAAAGGGAGCAGGGCTAAGCCTTGACCATGCTGGCCTCTGGGTGCCCTCTCTAAAATCCCATCCACCTGAGCCAGCCATTTCCTTCCTGGCTCTCCCTAGGGGCCAAGGCTGTTTTCTGCTGGGACTTTTTTTTTTTTTCCTTTTCTTTTTTCATCTAATTTACTTGGCAGGTCTCAAATGGGGTGGGGACGAAGATGTGAGAGAAATTATTTATTCTGTCATTCTGTAACTTCCAGGGCTTTCTATCTATTTCCCCCAGCTCACTGAGGGGAGAAGTTGGCCTCATCAGATTGGCGGTGCCTTTGTGGACCCCAGGTGTCCAATGCAGAGCAGACGTTAACTCACTTGCCAGGACTAAGAACGTGGCCCACGCAGGGAGCCCTACGTGAAGAACTGAACTCTCTATTCTCCATCCTCTACCATGGGTCACAGGAATATGGCTTCTGTCAAAGGGAAGGGGAATTTCTGCAGACACCCTGGTCCTTCTGGACCAATTTGATGGCTCACTCTCTTTTTGAGAAACAGGAGCCTTCGTCCAATTTGGACCAGGTCTGAGAGTATGGGCACAGGACCCAGGAAAAGCTGTCCTACGCAGGTACTCTGGGTCAGGTGACCCTAAAGCATATCTCAGCCCAGTCAAGGATCTGAACTTTCTCACAGAGGAGTAAACTGGTTCAACTGCAAGCAGGTTATATCTGAACAGGTAGTTCCTTCTCGGTCTTTCAAATCAGCAGCTCACAAAAGAGTAGGATAGAATCAGAAACTCAAGGGCAGTTGAGGACAGATGCCATCACTCACAGACAGTGCCATGTACAAGTGAGAAAAACTGGGTTCAGTCAGATTCGTTCACTCATTCAGAGTTTATGACGTTTCTGTTATTGCCCAAGAATGTACTAGATGCTAGGAATAACTTTTACAAGAGTGAGAAAATACATCGGTTCCTATCAAAGAGAAGCATGAACTCATAAGATGACCTATATTGAGTCTTAGAACCCCAGATTGCTAGAGCAGAGACCTTCAAGATCTGTTAGTTCAACTCTCCTACCTCACAGATGAGGTGTTGAGGCTCACAGAGCAAAGGTGACTTTAGGTGTCACGGCAGCTGGGACTGAAACAACCCTTGATCTCTTTCTTTACAGTGAGTTACTTTCCTGGTAAACAGTGCCCCAGGATGTATCTGAGACTTGTCGTGGCACTGAGAAAAAATGCTCTAAACTGCCAGTTGCAGCAACAGCTACTAACTGAGGCCAATTTCCTTCTTCCTTCTGTAGGCCCACTGCTCTTCCCTCTTCTCACAGAGGGTCTGTGCTGTCCCTTCAGTCTCCACTCACCCCGTTGTCCTTGTGGGCTGCTGTTGGATGGTGTCTGTCCCCCTGCTAGATCCCCAAAGTCTCCTGTTTAAGCAGTGAGTTTGCCATGCCCCTTGCAGGAGAAAACTCTGGCAATTTTTCCTAAAGAAAAGACGGAAGCAATTTACATTCAAATCAAAACCACAAAACACGATCCTTTAATCCCAGAACAATCGTTTTAGGCAGGCTCTGGAACATCAGAGAAAAATGTCAGTTTTGCAAGTTGGGTGCCAAAGGAGCCTCCAGGAAAGGCAACAACTCACAGGTGGAACCCAGAGACTGGGGCGCTTGCTTCCCTTCCCTGTTCCTCGAGCTTCATGTTCCTGGAAATGCCACACGTCACCAAGTGAGGTGGAGGGCGAAGGCCCTTATGGAGCTAGACCTTGGCTTGATTCAGTCCCTGGAAGTAGAAGCAAAGTGTCCAAAGCAACTATCCTTATGGTCCGCTTTGCTGGCAGAGGTCTCACCTCCTGATACTTGGATGTTAATACCCATGATGGCAGGGCAGTATTTCTGTTGGGTGGAAAACTTGAGTTCAGCTAAACAGGAGGGAGGAAGTGTTGTCAGTAAATAAAAAGGAGGCAATATTTCTTCTATTTCTGGGGCCGAATCTTGATCTGAAATGGAAAAGCTTTGCCTCTCAGACAGCCTGATTTAATTGTTGAACAAAGCCCTCTTCTTGTGGGGAAGAAAGACAAGGATGCCAACAATTAGCCCTCTGAATGTAGGTCTGTCCAAACAATAGGGAGGAAATCGGCAGCGACATCCATCCGCCCACTGCTTTTTCGGCTGGTCCAGGCCAAGGCAAAACAAAGGAAAACACATGCCATTGGTTCAAGAGTTCAGCTCTCTCTGCAGCAAGAGAAAAGCTCCACTTCCCTTTCCCTGGGCATTCCAGATCTCCGTTCCCACTCGGCCGCTGTGGCATCTTCTGGACCCCCTCTAACAAATCCTCTCTAGTTGGGGGAAACTTTTATGAACTTAACTTGATTTTCTCACCAGGGAATGTAGGAAGGGTCCTAAAGAATAAGCAAGAAGAACATCTGAATGCCTGCAGGGCGTTTAAGACTAACAGCATTGCACTCAACTGTCCTCTTGACTTGGTGAGCGTGTTATTGCCCTAGCTTCTGCCATCATACATAAGAAAACCTAGGCTCAGTGGTTAAAAACTTTTCCTCCTCATCACACAGGTGATCACAGGTAGAGCAGGGAGTAAACCAGGTTGCCACACTTCCCAGGTGAGCATGAAGCTGATGTCTTTGTTGTATTGCTGGATCCAGTTTGATTAGAGAAAAATCTGAGAGTCTCCAGGAAGGCAAGAGAGCCCAAGGGAGCAGAGGGTCTTGTGAGATGGGAAAACTGACCTTTCGTTTTTATTGATATGATTTCCCTGGCAATTATTCACTCCTAGTTTTTCTGGGTCAATATAAAAGTGTAAACATTATTTTTTCTGGATTTAAAATGTCATTCTCTCTTCTTTCTTTTTTTTCAGTATTAAATTTGTGGCTTAAAAAAATGTGTTCTGGCCTTGGTGCTGAGTTCCTAGAGACTGGTTCCCCTGGGAGTGGCTGAACCTACCACCCCATGAGCAGGTGTTAGATACCTGCCACAGATAAACGCTGTGTTGGGTGCTGTGGAAGAGACAAGGCAAATTACAAGTCAGCAACAGAAAGGATACAATCTGAACTATTTTAACACATAAAATGTGAGGGATGGCCTGAGTCGGGTGAACTAAACCAAAGCTTCTCAATGTCACTGCTTTCTCAGTCCACTTGTGGCCTTCCAAAGAGATCATTTGGATTGGTCTGGATGCCTGCTTTAGTTAGCTTTCTCATCACTGTGATCAAAAGACCTGACAAGAACAATTTTAGAGGAGGAAAGGTTTATTTGGGGCTCACAGTTTCAGAGGTCTCAGCTTGTAAATGGCTGACAGCATTGCTCTGGGTCCAAGGTGTGGTAGGGCATCCTGATGGAAAGGTGTGGAGGAGGAAAGCATCTCAAGACATGGCACCAGGAAGCAGAGAGAGAGGCATCTCCACTCGCAAGGGAAAAAATATATACTCCAAAGGCACACCCCAGTGATCCACCTCCTCCAGTCACACGCTACCTGCTTACAGTCACCACCTAGTTAATTCCTATCAGTGGATTAATGCACAGATTAGGTTACGGCTTTCATAGCCCAATCAGTTCACCTCTACGCTTTCTTGCACTGTCTCACACATGAGCTTTTGGGGGACATCTCACATCTAAACCATAACATTGCCCCTTTGCCCCTTGTCCCCATGGATATTTTAAAAGTTCCCTAGATAATTCTAACATGACCAAGTTGAGAACCTTTGAACCAGACAGAATAACTTAAAATAGCCTTTCCAGCTCTAAGATCTTGTAAAATGAAAAGAATGTAAACAAACCTTGAATGTTCAGAGGGCAGAGAAAAGGGTGGGTAGAAAGCACTAGACTTATCTATTTTGCTTCAGTTAATCTTAGCAAAATTCCTGCTTCTCCCTCAGACCATACATGTCCATCCTGACTCACTCATTGCCTCTGGAGTGGTGACCAACTCAATCCACCCGGGAAGAGTCTCACTCTCTCTGGAGTTCTTTGAATCCACAGCCCTTCAGTGGCTTTTGGGATTGAACCCAGGGTTACTATACCACTGAGCTACATCCCCAATACTTTTTCTACTTTTATTTTGAGACAGGGTCTTGCTCAGTTGCTGAGGCTGGCCTCCAATTTGTGACCCTCCTGCCTTCATCTCCAAATTGCTGGGCTTACAGGTGAGTACCACCACACCTGACCGCCAGTGGCTTTTATTGAAATATGTGTTTGTTTATCCAGTTTTCTTTTCCTCTTTCAGTTATCATAGTGGTAAGTGCAAAGGTCTGTTACAACATCCTACATTCCAGAGAGAAGGCAAACTTTCCCCTTTTGGCATCAGAGGAATCTGCAAGAGATGTGAACTGCAGGCATGTGAACTAATGTGTGGGAAAGATGGATTTGTTGGCAAAGGCAGGAAGAGGTCCATCTAGGAGAGCCGGGATACATGCAAAGGATGCTGTGACGACGAACAAAACGGGAAAGATGACATGGGGGAGCACTTTCAAGTTGTCAGACAGATTCAAATCTGTGTCTGTCCAACTGCAGAGCCTAAACTTTTGGTCATCCGATCTATGAAGTTGTATCCCCGAGAGTGGCTGATAGAGAACTAAAACTCTTTGGTTTAAGTGGTTCTCCTGGTGTATTTGTGAGACATACTTTTGGCTTTGGGGCTTCTACATTCAACTTTGTTTTACCTGAGAATGGCTAAGAAGATTCCCAAAACTCATGTCAAACTCATGACTTTCATTGTAAGTTTCCTTTGCAAGTTTTTAAAATGTAGCTTGTGATGAACAAGAGTGTAGACTGTCTAAAATTAAATTTATTGTAACTATAAAAAACACATGGCATTGTACATATTTGGGGGGAACTAGGTGATATTCCCATATGTGTATACATTTTATACATTGTGTACAGTGCATACTTTTTGATTGGTAACTGGATAAATTAAGCATGAAATGTTTTTTAAAGTTTTTTTTAGTTGTCAATGGACCTTTATTTTATTTATTTCTATGTGGTGCTGGGAATCCAATCCAGTACCTCACACATTCTAGGCAAGCGCTCTACCACAACCCCGGCCCCCAAGCATGATAATCTTGTTCTAATAAAAAAGTTTATTTATTTTTCTCCATTGACTTAGCTTCTAGAAATCTGTCTTGAGGCATAATTGCAGACAGAGTCTTATGTGGAAAGTTATGTATAATGAGCACAAATTCAGAAAGGACTGAAATGTCTTATATAAAGGAATGATATATAATATACATATATAATAATACATATGACGATAAACATACGTGAATCATCTCACATGGGGCCATCAACATGGGACTGATTAAAAATAATTATGGCATAGTTATGCTATGGAAAACTGTAATAGTTCAAAACAATGAAATAAACATACATGCACCAATTTGAAAAATCTCTGATCGATATTGTTATATAGTGTGATACATCCAATGTCTCTCTAGCTGTGTACATGTGCCAATGCCTAGAAAACACGAGAAGGACACATATACTTTTAATAGAGGTAGATTAGTTTTGTAGAATGTGTGTATGTGTGCGGGGTGATAAAGTAGGAATTTTATAGTTTACTGTGTATATTTCTGTTTTAGTTAACTTTTATGTCATTGTGGCCAAAATACCTGACAAGAACATCTTAAGGGAAAAAAAAATTTGGGGGGGTTTTACGGTTTCAGAGGTCTTAGTCCATAAGTGGCTGATTCCACTGCTCTAGGCCCAAGTGAGACAAAACATCATGGTGAAAGGGTCCAGTGAAGGAAAGCTGCTCAGGTCAGCTCAGGATGGGCGTCAGGAAGGAGAGAGAAAGAGAGTGGGGCGGAGGGGCTGAGTCACTGCAGGGAAGATGTACCTTTCCAGGATATGTCCCCAATAACCTTCTCTAGCCACATCCCACCGGCCTACAGTTACCACTCAGTCCATTCAAACTAGGGGCTGGTTAGGTTACAGCTTTCACAATTAAATCATTTCACCTCTGAATATTCCTGAAGTAACACAGAACATCTCATATCAAAACCATAACAACTATATTTGGATCTTTTACAATAAGAACATTTGTATCTATTGTGTAATTAAAAATAATAAAATCTTTACTCCTTTTTATTTAAAATTTTTTTCTTATAATACTTTTATTCTATTTATTTATTTTTGTGTGGTATTGAGGATTGAACCCGGGGTCTCTTTATGTCTTTTTAAAAAGGCATGACTTTCAGTTTTCTTTCTTTGCAACTTCTTTTAAAGCTTGGATACATATTGAAAGGTGAAAAAGACATTATCCTCTCTTTTCTAGGAAACTCAAGTGATGTTATAAAATTTTGTGACTGATTGGGTAATTGCTTTCAGGTGAACCAGCTACCCAATGAGGTCAAAAGCAAGTTTGTTAAGGTCTTGTCACCATGGGGGACAGGGCATGGTACCCTAAGGTAGCTGGATCTGTTCCAGGCCAGGGTGACAGCTACCAGCCAGCTGGTGGGGCATGTTCTGTGGCATGAGTCCTTATCTCAGAAACACCTCCCACCATCTTTAGTTCCAGCTTTCTTTTACCCTGACTGCTGGTGCCAAGAAGAGAAAGAAAATGAGGTGTTGGCCCTGCCTGGCAGAGGGGGATGTGAGGCAAGGAGGAAAGTCTATGGTTTCCCTAGCAGGAGAAGGAAGGTAACATGGAGACAGCCTTTGTTTAAAGGTGATGTGCTCACTGGGATGAGCAACAGAGGGTCTTTTAATCCATGCACTTTTGGATGTCTACTGTTTCTTCTATATTGTCAGTCAAGACAACCTACCATGTGCTCCTTTTTGTTTAGGAGTTAAAGCATGGAATTAGTTACTAGAAGGGACCCTGGGCCCAATTCTCTGACTGGCAGGGAAGTACCTAAATTCCCAGAGAGGGGAATCTATGGCCAGAAATGGGGTCACACCAATATCCTGGATCCCACATTGGGACTTGTACCCCTTCTTCACTTCTCTGACTCTGTTGCAAGTGGCTCTAAAGTGATTTCTGGCTGAAAGAAACTGCATTAACCTGAGCTGATGATGAGGACTTAGAGCTGTCCTTGTTCTGTGGTCCTTTGGGACTTTCTAGGGTCAATGTCAGTTGTGTAAAAAGTTTGAGTGCCTTTACTTCTGTGCTTTTCTGTGCTTATACAGGCCAATTGAAATGATCACATTCTTTTAACTTTGTAAGAACATGACCTAGAACTATTTGTAGTTAATTCTCTGGAGCCCCATTTACAGAATTATGGTGTGTGCGTGGTTATATTTATTTTTATTTCTTTCTAATTCTCATTTAAATGAAATAGTCAATTGGGTTTTTTTTTAATATTTATTTTTTAGTTGTAGTTGGACACAGTATCTTTATTTATTTATTTATTTTTATGTGCTGCTGAGGATTGAACCCAGGGCCTCACACATGCTAGGCGAGAGCTCTACTGCTGAGCCACAACCCCAGCCCTCAATCATTTTTTTAAAATTTATTTACAGCATTGGGAATTGAACCCAGAACCTGTCATATGCTAGGCAAGCACCCTAGCCCTTTCTAAATTTTATTTTAACACAGGGTCTTGTCAAATTGCCCAGGCTCATCTCAAATTTGTGATCCTTTGCCTCAGGCTCCTGGGGGAGCCTGAGTAGCTGGGATAACAGACATATGCAACTGTGCCTAGCTCAATCAATTCTTCTAAAGAACCAATCAATTATAATGCAAAAATGCAAGGTATATTTTTCTGAATATAATTATTTCAACAGGTGGCTTCTTTCTCTGACTACAGAAACTTGAGGCAACTTGATGATGTGGGCTTTGCCCTGAGCCAGTTTGCATGTGTGCATTTGGGAGTGGAGGACTCCATGTCTGAACCACACCAGTCTGGCTGGTGATGCTCCAGTTTCTAGGCCTGGAGAGTTGGCCTGGGCAGCCCTGATGCTAACCTGATGGAAAATTGTCCCCACTGCTTCCCCTTCGGGGGCTTCAGATTCACTGTGTGTGAGAAAAAAATGTGACCACAGCATTCTATTACCATCATTGCCATCATCATAATTAAAGAGACCCTGGCAGGAGGGTAGGGCAGCCTTGACTTTTAGCCTGTTCTCTCCGGTGTTCTTTGTGTTTCTAATAACATTGGCAACAGTGTTCTAGTGAAAAGAGCCCCAGGCCAGGAGTACGGGAAGCAGACTGCAGTCTTTGACTTGCCACTAATGAGTTGGTTTGGGGTCATCCATGTCAACTCAGAAAAGTTGTCATTCCTTCCTCAACCCCATCGCAGGCTGACCTTAGGTTCTCCTCTAAATCTCAGAGTTTAGGCCCATCCCCTTTGAACTCAGTTTACTTTTTCATTTTTGGCATTGAGACTGCAATAGTTTTCTGGAGAAGACTTAATTACTCTTCTTCCTAAATGACTTGATCAAAAACCCCTCCAACTAGAAAACATGAACTCACAGCACTAATTGAGAATCTGTTTTCAGGATAGGAAAGGCGGTGATTAGGGGGCATGGGAGGTGTAGGTAACTCCAGTTTTAGACTTTGTCATCCCTGATTGGAAGAAAGAGAGGGGGAGAGAGGGAAAGGGTGGGGGGGCGGGGAGAAGATAGCATCTGAGCTTCCAGGTATGTGTATGATAACACGGAGAGAACCCTCTCTACATCTGCCCCCAGCTGGTTCCAGGGCTGTGACAGTTCCCAGGTCAGCAACACCATCTCATATTTTGTCTTCTGGCCAGCTGTCCTGCAAGTTGGGGGTGGTAACTGTCACACCTCTTTTCTCACATGATTGTGTGTTGTAAGTGCACTGACTTCATTCATTGCCCTGGAAAGAAAACCTTCAAAAATGAGGTGGGGCTCCTACCAGGCATATTTGATGTGGATGGAGCTGTTGTAACCCTGAGACTTCCTTTAGCAAGTAGAAATATGAATTTAAAAATGAGAGAGCTTTTCAGGTAAACCTGTCCATGAGGAGGGAGAAAAGAAAGAGTCAAATTATTGCTGTTAGGTTCTGTGCAAAGAGACCTGGGTGGAGGGAACCTGGTGAATTTAGTTTATTTTCAGAGCTCTCCTAAACAAAAGGGTTCTCAATAGATTTCCATACATCCCAGCTCCTCCATTCAAAAAGGAAATATTCAATTTTTTTTCAGAGCCTTTTCTTTTTTAGAAATTTCCACAGCATCATCATAAATGAAGTTTTCACCAGGCACAGTGGCACACACCTGTAATCCCAGGGGTTTGGGAGGCTGAGGCAGGAGGATAAAAAGTTCAAGCCCAGCCTTAGCAACTCAGCAATGCCCTGTCTCAAAATAAAAAATAAAAAGGGCCGGGGAATTGGCTTCGTGCTTAAGCCCTGCTTGGTTCAATATCTGGTAGCAAAAATTAAAATAATAAACAAAATCTTTCCATCATCATTTCATCTTTAGTTGGGGCCCATCCCAGGAGCTGGAAAGAGGCAAATCGCATAGTTTCTCAGACACAGACCCTTTCTGAGTCATTGATCTCAAAATACATGAGCAGGATCCAGCCTGTCATGTCCAGGGTGTGTGATAACCATTGATTACTTAGGAATCTGAGACCAGGGTGGATCAGGAAGTTGTGTGGGCTGAACTTTCTGATCTTAACTCCAGGAAAAACAAACAAGCCTACTGAGTCATTTATCTTCAGGGTCGCTAATAAAGGTAGTGGGTTCCTTTCAGTCGTGTTTACATTCTTATTTTTAAACTCTGACAGCCGGAGGCCAGACAACTGACTCGACCACCAAAGCACCTCACTGAGTGGCCAGAGCCAGGCATGATTAAGGACTCTGGTGTAGGACCAGTGTGCAGATCTCTGTCCAGCCTGGTCTGGGGTAGGAAAAGTCAGAAACAACATAACAATTTCTTAACAGGGGACGGGCTAGGTAAACTACGGCACATCAAGTACCGTGGAATAGTGAGCATCTTAGGTCATCTGCCCAGACACACCCTGCCATGAGAATGTCTGTGCTTGTAATTTATTATGGAAGTGTTCCCTGGACAACCCAGTCAAGGAGTAGAAAGGCAGGACAGGAAGGTAGCAGAAGCAAGTCAGGCTGTGATTTCAGATCAAGTCTTGACACCCACCTGATCCCTTTGGGGGACTCTGGAGTATCCATTGTGCCAA